TATATATATATATATATATATATATATATATATATATATATATATATATATATATATATATATGCCGCTGCAAGTTTGAAGTATCTCAAATGTTTCTGAACAATCATCTCTATTTTCTTCCCCTTCGATTTGTGAGTTATATGCATATTTGTTGTTGGTTGCTTTCGTCATTTTATGTGATTTTTTGCTTTTGAATGGTTACCTTCGTCTTTTATGGATTTTGATGAAAAGTTGTAGTAACGTAGTTTCGCTACAGTATTTCAAAATTTTTACTCAAGTTTCGAACTTCGATTTTTCTTGTAAGTGATTTTTTCGTGTTTACTAATTTATTTCGGTCAATTAATTAATAATGGTATGTTTGGTTTTTAATCTATTCCAGTTTGTCTTTTATTAATCCGTTTTTATGATGAAATTTATTAATTTAGAGATGTGAGTGGAATCCTGTTTATTGTTAAATTAAATTGCCTAATTTAAAGACTTTCAAAACCATTGCTGTCTAATTGTTTAATTTAAAGACTTTCAAAATCATTGTTGTGGAATAAATATTTCACAGAGTGGTACCGGCTTTGCTACTGCGGGATCCAGTCGATAAATCTCAGTCAAAAATACTTGTAGTGCACCACTTTGATCCAAAAAAAATTAAAATACGATATTACTTAAGTTGATGACTTTCATTTCCTTGCCAACTTGCATCAATAATGACACTTCTTCAATGTTTTCTGTTGCATTTATCCTTCACATTTGGTTCGAATAACTGCAGCATTGCAATGTCATTTTCCTATCTCATTTAAACCGTTCAATTGTTGTTGACCTGTACAAATTTGTGACTGGTATTGCAAAGAACAAGATACAGAACGCTTGCAAGCATTTTATGCTATTTCAGTTTTGAAACAAGAATTTACCGATTTCCCCCTATATGATTTAGGTGTACAAGAAATTAAAAATAGGTTTTTGTTAAATATTTTTCGTTTAATTTTCTCACATTTTTTTTTACCGTATATCTAAAGTACTTCCCCTCAATTCTCGAAGTTTGTTAGTCGTTTGTATTCCTTACTACTTAACATTCATCTTTTTCCTTGATAGTATCAACACAAAATATTTATGAATTCGTATTGTATTTTACAGATGTGGGACATCATGAAAAGTGCGGATCAATAAGTATCCAATTTGGTTAAGCGATTAATTGAGCATATTATCGCTGGACGATTAAAATGCTTTAAAAATTCAATTTTGAATTTTAAATTTGACTTTTCTATGATATTTACTATTTGCTTTTGATATTTATTATATTTTCACATTATGTCATTTTCGGTTTAATTTTATTAATTTAGTTAAGGTATTATTTCGGTTTGATCTGGTTTAATTCAGTTCATTTGTTTTACTGTATGCTATCAGCTATATTGCGACATTAAAAAAAATTGGTTACAACCATTTGAAATTTCAAAACTCCACTAAATTTCCCTATCCAGATTTTGCATTAACTTGTGCCCTATATAAAATAATTTTAAAAGATTCGCTATGTCTCTTTAAATCCCAAAAAGTTTTTATTCTGATTTTAGAGGAAATGCATTCCACCTTTACGCAAACTTGGATCCTCTTCAATGGTCTAGTTTATATTAGATGAAAACCATTGTGATATAATGCTTGAAAGTTCCAGAAATAGTAAACAAAGGAAAATTGTTTTATTGAAATCACTGATCACTGATCTCTAGAGCGAATTTCAAACGTTTGGATGATGACAACAATTTTAAGATAAAAATACTTTTTCCGAATGAAAATCAGTGAATGGATTAAATAATAATCAGTGCATGGATTAAACTAAAAGATACTTAAATATAATTTTAGACGATCATCATTTTCGGAATCTGATTCTTTTCCATGTTTCAAGTGTGGCTACGTCACGGTCAGAGATATCTTGCACTCTAGTCTTATCGAAATCTGGAGGATTGCCCCCTCTCTCCCTAATTCACCGGGATTTCGTTTTTTTGTATGATGTTTGAAGTGGCTTGGCATATGGCCGTAAGCTGAAATGACAGTGCGACATTTTAGCTGATTGAGGTTAGGCAATTTGATCTTCGGAAAACAAGATGGTTCAATTACAGTACTATCAGGATATATATAAAAAGGTATGAGACTTTATTAATTGATGGAGAGATATGATGCGATAAGTAGTCTGGTGATCTTAGTGATCCAACTAAAATTTTCATTTAGATGGAGTGTTAGTAATTAGTTATTTAGGTATATTGTAGTGATAATCAGGGGAATTTTAGGCTTTAAAATTAGATTGACTAGTTAGAGTGGATCAAAGTTAGGTTTAAAACTGATTATCAACAAATAGTTTAGTGCATTGTTCTTCAGCTTGTAACAGTCAGTAATCTATCGTTGGTATCATCGGTAATGAATGCTATACCGATACACGTGGGCTGCAGAGCTTATCTCTAATCCCGCTGAAGTTTTCCCCTTCAGCGATAATACTAATGTTAATATTGCTTCTGCCTGATATTTTTTTTTTAATTATAGAGAAATGTGAGTTGTCATTTATCAATAAACTTGAACCGGATGGTATGTAGAGGAGCTCGTCTGTTGCCATTGAATTCAAACAGGTAAATCGTCAGAAAATTATTATATTCATTATGCCATGCCTTTATTTGTTTTATAGTTTTGAACGAAAAGCAAAATCTAAATGCATAGCTATTAACCCAGCTGATAACTATAAGCTTTACAATAAACTCGATTATTAAAGAGAAAAGAAAGTTTGAAACATTTGTTCTTCGTTTACTTTGGAAAGAAATTAATTAAGATTAATTTTGATCACTCGAATTTGACTTATCGAATGTAGCATTCCGTAAATTTATTGATTTCATGACTGATGGTGTTTTAAAGCAACACAATTTCATATACTTGACGCTTTTCTAAATGTTCTCGTGCATTTTGTGATGTTTGATCTGTTGCGAAAAGAAGAACTGGATTTACCAATTGGAAATTCTTTACGACCTTCACGTGGTGCACTATTTAATGAGCTAATAACAGCAGTAGCAATCCACATATAAATAAGCATGCAAATATTAGCAAAGGATTCTTCCAATGTTGACTCATATTCATAAAAACAAGCTTATTATGTAAAAGACATTGATTAGGTGCTGCCGCATCTTCCTGCATTCATCCAGTGTGTGTGTGTGTGTGTGTGTGTGTGTGTGTGTGTCGTGTGTGTGTAGTGTGTGTATGTGTGTATGTATGTGTGTGTATGTGTGTG